AAGTACATCATCATATGCGTAAAAGATATTCTATAAATTATTTATTAAACACAGAAAAATATACAAATTTACCCGGGCGTAGCCCGGGGATCGGTTCTAGTAATCTTAAAAGTTCGACAAAATTTATTTTGTAAAATATACTTTTGGATGATATATAAGATAAAAAAATTAAAAGAATTAGTAAATCTACATATTTTGTACAAAAATAAACTAAGTTAATAATTATAATAACACAAAACTTAAGAAAAGAATTCTAATTTTTATAAATATTTTCTCTTTCTTTTATGTAAACCTTTATATAAATAATAATATGAAAAAAATAATTTGTTAGAATAATAATATTATATAATTTTATACATTTACAACTTTGAATATAATCAAGATATACATATATTTATATATTGATGGATCGGATCAGATATCCGCTTCCTAAAATTTAATATTTGTGATTTGCTCGATTTTAACAGATATTAATTTTTAGTATTTAATTTGCTTCGAAAATTTACGGATATCTAAAACTTTCAGATAAATTGAAACGGATAATGAATTTAATCAAAATTAATAGATAAAATGCTCAACCCTAATTAAAACGATAACATATAATAAATTAACATTTGCTATGATATTTTGCTCCAAGAAAAACTTATCATAAGATGTTAATAGAGACAACAGACAAATGATTTTTGCTCAGGTGAGGAGCTGATAAACATGAGTGAGTAAACGTCAAATGGCTCAAAAGGCGTGATCCCACTCCAAATAAATTATTAAAACTAGTTATCGACCAGCATAACCGTGTAGATATTTTAATATGAAAATATTTGAAATTATATGATAAAATTTATCAATAAATAAAGATAATTTGATTATGTATACTATCCAATTTTATAATGATATTTATATATCTTATAATATTATTAATATAATTTTTGTAATAATTTTTAAAAACATTATTATGTAACATTATTAATTTATATATTTTGATTTATTTCTAAATTTAAAATATATGTAGAAAATAAATTAAGTTGGACCTACATAATACATAAACAAAATTTTGGGATATTGTTAAAAGTGTTTTACATAATTTTAATTTTATGTTTATAAATAAAAATGAATTAAAATTTTAATTATATTTTATAATAATTAAAATTTGGTCAAATAATTTTTGAAACTAAATCTTGAAAATATTCTAAATGATTTTTACAAGACTTTGTTATAATTTTCTTAAAACTATTTATTTGTATTTTAAATACAAATTAAAAATATGAAAATATATTATAATGATATTATGCAATTTTTCTAAAAAAATGATACAAACTAAAAACAAACACATAAAGTGAGTCATGATTTTTCTTTTAATATAATAGATAATAATCTGATTTTTCTGGTCTTTTAACTAAGTTTATAAAGTAGGGAAACATTAGAAAAGAGAAAATATTTGCCACTCTCTATTTCTTTTATGTCCGTGTAATAAGCTTTAGTTTACACGTTTCGGTTTGTAGACATGAATTCATTTGTTGTTTATTATTATTATTATTATTGTTTAATTTATTATTATTATTAGAATGAAATATTGTATCTATGTGATAAAAATGTTGAGACGTAACCAAGCCACGTTTTCCCCAGGCCACTTCCTATAAACAAGATGTTATATAAATCCCTAAAAATAATTTAGTTAAGGCACATGTTCACAAATGATAAATACTTTTGACCAAATGAATATCTATTATATTAAAAGAGAAGTCATGACTCACTTCATGTGTGATATTTTAGTTTGGACCATCTTTAGAGTTTTATAAAATTTTACATAACATTATAATATCTTTTCATATCTTTAATTTTTGTTTGAAATACAAATAAATAGTTTTAATAAAATCTAACAAAATCTTTTAAAAATCTTTTAGAATCTTTTTCAAGATATAGTTTCAAAAATTATTTGATTAAAATTTTAACTATCATAAAACATAATTAAAATTTTAATTCCTTTTTAATTTTTAAAAAAGTTAAAATTATGTAAAATACTTTTAACAATATCCCAAAATTTTGTTTATGTATTATGTAAGTCCAACTTAATTAATTTTTACATAGATTTCAAATTTAGAAAAAAAAATATAAATTAGTAATCTTACATAATAATGTTTTTAAAAATTGTCACAAAAATACAAATTTATAAATTTTATATTAATAATATTATAAGTCATATAAAAATTATTATAAAATTGGATAACATACAGAATCAAATTATACTTATTTTTTGATAAATTTTATTATATAATTTCAAATATTTTTGTATTAAAATACCCGCACGGTTGTGCGGGTCGAAATCTAGTTTGTTTTAAAACTCAAAACTGCCGACTAATATCTATGTTATTAAAATTGAAGTACACAATGAAGTTGTTTAGAAACTAGAATATTAGACTAAACGAATATGTGTTTGGAAACATGGATAGCAGTAAAACAATAATACTTGTCTAACTTAAGTGATTTTTTTACAGATTTTCTTTCTATTTTAATTAATTCTAACAGTTTCATTTATTATCTTTACTAAATATACTGATATCATTTATTACAGAATTACAAAACAAAACGTATTTGTTTCCAATTTTTTATTTGTTATTTTACATTCATTTTCACTTTTTAACTATTTCATTAATTATATTTACTATAATATTTTGACAACATTTATTTTACATATTAACTATAATAATTGACATATTTGAATGAAATGACTCTATATATGACAAGAATTAAAATGGTTAACAATTTTTTTTATTTGTTTACATAATCAGTTAGACATAGACATTCGAATATCTGTTCAGCTACGAGTTATTTATTTTGGATATCAGTTTTTTTTAGTTTTGAAACTAGAATTCATTCGGTATTATAATTTTTCATGTGGATATTTCAAATCGGTTTTCACAAGTCGAGAAGAATTCAATTTTTATATATAGAAACCTATAAATATCCAAAAACTAATATATCTGAGGCCTGTTCAGATATTTGTACCAAACTTAACAATATTAACCGATTTAGTTTGCGTATTTTGAATTAAAACTAAACTAACCTAAAAATAACCAAATAACTAAAACTAACCATATTACCATGATTCGGGTTTGATTCTAATGTATGGAAACCTAAAAATATTCAAATATTCATACAATTAATTATATTATGATACATATAAAATATCTAATATTAATCATGAAAGAGAAAAAAATCAATTTATAAAAATATTTCAAATCGGGTCTTCACAAGTCAAGAAGAATTCAGTTTTAATAATTAGAAACCTACAAATATCCAAAAACTAAAGAATTTGAGGCAGATTTGGATATTTGTACCAAAAAGTTACAATATTAACCGATTAAGTTAGGGTATTTTGAATTCAAACTAAATTTAACCTAAAATAATCATATAACCAAAACTAACCATATTATTGTACTTGATCCGGATTCGATTCTGATGTATCGAAAACTAAAATTTTTTAAATATTTATATAATTAATTATATTATGATACATATAAGATATCTAATACTAATTATGTAAGAAAAAAATATTAATTTATAAGAAGGTAAAAATAAACACCCGTACGGACGTGCGGGTCAATCTCTATTTGTTTTTATAATAATATATTTAATTTACCGTATTTTAATATATGAAAACAACCAAAACATTAATCTTTTAATTATTGAAAGAATCAAATATAAATATAGGGTGTTGATTTTTTGTTATTTTTAAAAATGATATTTTCTACAAATTGTTTTTCTAATCAAGATTTAAATTTTGGCTTAAGTTCTTTTCTAAAACCATTTTATTAGCCTTTCAGATTTTTTTAGCAAATAGGTTCTCTAAAATTCAGAGAATCTAGTTTTTCAAAAAAAGCTTATCATTTTATAAAAGAAAATCCAAAGTGTGGATTTTGTATCAAAACGAAAATCGGTTATTTTTCTGCAAACACTGCTAATTTACAAATTAATAATTACTTAAATTTTTAATAGAATACGAAAATTATGTATGCATACAGAAGTTATCCTTTCCAAAATAATACCACACAACTTTTACATTTTATCATATAAAATAAGTATGTGTGTGTTTATCAATAATTTAAAATATTTTTTTGGTAATTTTAAGCACACAAAACAACATGAAAAACTTAAAAATCAATATATGGTTCAAAAATATAATCTATTATATTGCAAATAAAAATAAAAAAGATTACCATTTGAAAAATCAAAAACTACAAATTTAAAAACCTAAATTCTAAAAACATAAAGCCAAAAACTAAAAGAATACACATACATATTTAAGTCGTTGGCCATTTTAAAAAAAAAAAAGAAAGAAAAAAGGAGGAAAAGTAAAAGGAAATTAGTACTCTTTCCTTCCTTCTACGTACCATCGAATAAAATTCCCAAAATGTCTTCTTTTTAATGTTCTTCCAAAACAATTTTAATTTTCCAAAACCCCAACCGCTAATCTCGCTATTAATTGCGACTCTTTAAAACCCTTTCCAAAGATTGGTTGATTCAAAATTAAGCTACGAAAGGGTTTGTTTTTCTTTGGCAATACAAAACAGTGTGAATCGAACCGACACATACACACCCCTTCCCTGCTTGGGTTTATAAACACGAGAATTTTCTTTCTTCTACTTCTATTTTAGTTTTTGTAATTGGTTTGTAGGAAGAGCAAATTATTGGTTTGGTGAGACAGGTAAACTAAATTCCCTCGTCACTTCTTCTTCAGTCTCCGTAATAATAAAATTGTCGAATAGTTTGACTTGGAAGCAATCTTTTCCATCGAACTTTGTTTGTTAGTTAGGTTGGCTACAATACTTTTATTCTTCGTTATTGCGCCCAACTTTAGAGATTTTGACTCTCCTTTTTTTTCTTTGAATTTTCATTTTCTTTTTAACTAATTCATACGACGAAAAGTCTCTCTATATTTTTTTTTTGGTTAAAAAAGTCTCTCTATAGTTTAAATTGACTACCACCACCCAACGGTTGAGACTTTCTTTTATTCATAGTTAGCCAAAGTTGATTTCTCTCCTTTCTTTGGTTACAGAACAGAGATGGGTACTCGTGGGGATGATGAAGAAGAAGACTGTTTCTTCGACGCCCCTAATGATCAACAACATGTTCCCCAGGATTTTGGATTTCAACTCTGGACCAATGACCCCGACAGTGTTTCCAACCGACGCCGTAAGTTTCTCCAATCCATGGCCTTTAGTTTCGATAAGGCTACAGAAGACTCCTCCTCCTCTGTCTCTGAAGATGAACTTCAACCACCTTCTGTTTCGGTTTCTGAACTTGTCACCGTCCCTTCCGGTGACAAATTAAAAGAGGATGACTTGTTGTCAAGGAATGAATCCACTTCCTCCTCTGCTTTTGACCGATCCTCTGTTTCTTCGTCCGAGGACACAGACGATCAATCCTTGTTCTTTTCCAGGAAGAGTGAATCATCCAGTTCAAGCAGTCTTCAAAACTCTCCATCTACTCGTAGTGATGATTCTGTGAAGAAAGGTGCACAGTTCTGGTTAAAGAAGCTTGGTGTTTTGACGCACGTCCTTGACTCTCTAGATTGTGATTCAGCGCCAAAGCGAACTACAGCGTCTGTGCAGACATATAAAAAGCAGTTTAAAGAGCTTTCGTCTCTGTGTGTTGACCAAGAGTTTTCAGCGCATGATGGGTCCATCTTGGTTATGAAGTTTTCTCCTGATGGAAAATTTATTGCGAGCGCTGGTGAAGACTGTGTTGTTAGAGTTTGGAGCATAAACGAGGAAGAGAGAACAGAGGAGTATCAAGTTCCTGTAGTTGATTCTGGTGTTTACTTTGGGATGAATCAATATTCTCAGATTGAGTCTTTGAATATTAATAATGAGAAAACAGAGAAGAAGAAGACAAGTAGTTTCTTGAGGAAGTCATCGGACTCAACTTGTGTTGTGTTACCCTCTAAGATCTTCAGTATATCTGAGAAGCCTCTTCATGAGTTCAGAGGGCATAGTGGTGAGATCTTGGATCTTTCCTGGTCTGACAAAGGGGTAAATAAAAACATATTAATTCTTTTAAATCGTTCTTCCTTTTGTCATATACAAGTCTTTAATTGTGATCTCTTACGTTTGCTGCAGTATCTCCTCTCATCTTCTGTGGATGAGAGTGTTCGTATATGGAGAGTAGGTTGTGATGAATGTCCCAAAATTTTCCCTCATAACAATTTTGGTAAGTGTCTAATTTCAGTTAATGATTATCATTCATCTGTTTGTGATGTGAAAATCACTCGCTCACACCTTGTCTCTTTTCTCTCTCAGTGACTTGTGTGGCATTTAACCCTGTGGATGATAATTACTTCATAAGCGGATCCATTGATGGGAAAGTTCGAATATGGGATGTGTCCCGTTGTCGAGTTGTTGACTACACTGATATAAGAGACATTGTGACTGCTGTGTGCTATCGTCCAGATGCAAAGGTACTTTAAAATATTTCATTTATTTTATTTATTTGAGATATGATTGAAAATGCTTACTAGAGTTTGTTTTCAGGCCGCTGTAATAGGTTCCCTAACAGGGAATTGTCGCTTTTACCATATACTCGGTATGTTTGCCCACTTGCAAATTTTATTTTTGAGATTTATTGTTATATGTAATGTGGATAATTCCACACATGAATTAAGAAGCTGATTGTTCGCTTTTGTGCATATTCAGATAACCAGCTGCAAATGGACAGAGAGGTTAACTTATCACATGGGAAGAAGAAGGTGCCGAGCAAAAGGATCACTGGTCTTGAGTATTTTCCCAATGACTCGAACAAAGTGATGGTTACCTGTGCTGACTCACAGATTCGGATCATATGTGGAGAGGATGTTATCTGCAAGCTTAAAGGTTAGTATGGATCATACAGTGAGTGTTTTTGTTTAGTCTGCTTAGGAATAAAGATGTTTAAACTCTTGGCTTACTTCGTTTTGCAGCTTCTGGCCTCTGCACAACGTCTGCTTCGTTTACTTTAGACGGGAAACACATCGTGTCAACAACAGAAGACTCTGGGATTCATGTGTGGAATAGCTCCCAATTACCGAGCAAAAAGCCATCTTCTGGAAAGGTGAAAAGAGTCAAGTCATATGAGAGCTTTATCTCACAGAATGCGTCTGTGGCTATCCCTTGGCTGAGACAAGCAAACAGGAACAGCTTGAGTGATTGCATCACAGATTTGGACAAGAAGATAGGGAAAATGGACAGCTGCTTCTCCCCAATGAAAGGATCAACAACATGGCCTGAAGAGCAGCTGGGTGATGCTTCAACAACAATGAGCAGTAGAGGGAAGAAGCTTAAGCTTCTGAAGAATGCGTTGCAGCCTCACTTGTGGGGGCTTGTGATCGTAACAGCGACTTGGGACGGAAGGATCAGAGTATTCAACAACTATGGATTGCCAATTAGAGTCTAAAAGACGAGTGAGTATATGTTAGATTAGGATTCTTTTATTTGTGTGAAGGCTATTTATACTTATTAGTTTAGGCGTATAAGATTTGTAAACACATTGCTGAGTGTGGTTCTGTACCTTTACTCTCAGCCCCAAAATGTTAATAGTATAGTTCAGTAATATATATAATACACAGTTTTATTTTGTTTTTATTTCAACGTGGCCATAAACCTATGATTGTTTCATCTGATCAATGACTAATCTTTAGTTCAAAAAAAAAGCCATGAGTATTCTATGAGAATTGTCATTCAAAGAAAAGCAGGTGAACATCAACAGTCGGTGAGTATTACACACGCTGAAAGTGATCAGCATTCCCTCTCTCAAGTGCAAATCCGATTTACGTTCTGTTGGACCATTGGGCATATATTTTAAGGAAATCGGAACGATTTCTAAGAGAACCCTTGTCTTCAACTCAATTTTCCATAAAAAAGTTTTGCTCATAACCCCCAATTCTAGGCCCAATTCCACATAGGAGTTGCAGCTTCAATTCTAGTTGATAGCATATCACCACTGGAGATAATGGTGGTTTCCGACATATCACTAATTATGATAACAATTTCTATCATATCAGTTTTTTTATATGTTGGTGTCTCTAATTATAGCTTTCAACACAACATATCATCATCAATGACAAAGATAATTTTTAACATTGTTATCATCATCGGTGATAGTTTCCGATATATCACCGATGATGATAACAATGTTCATCATATCAACGGTCATATGTAAGGTTTCAATAATGAAAGTTTTCAACATACCCTCAATGACAATTTTTGAGAATTTATAAATTTTAAAACATTTACAATTATTTTGTTTTTTCAAAATTTATGGTTTGATAAATTTTTGAGAATTTATAAATTTTAAGATTTTAAATGAACAGGCTGAAATCTTTTTGTTATATAACTATCCCTTTAATAGTTAAACTAGATCTCGACCCGCATAACCGTGCGGGTATTTTAATACAAAAATATTTGAAATTATATAATACTCTCTCCGTTTTAAATTAGATGATGTTCTAAAAGATTTATTTTGTTTCAAAATATAAGATGTTTTGATATTTTAAGATATATTTTAAGATATATATGGAAAAACTTAATTAAGTTGGACCTACATAATAGATAAATAAAATTTTGGGATATTGTTAAAAGTATTTTTCATAATTTTAACTTCTAAAAGATTTTTAAAATATTTTGTTAGAATTTTCTTAAAACTATTTATTTGTGTTTCAAATAAAAATTAAAGATAAAAGATATTATAATGATGTTATGTAAAATTTTATAAATTTTCTAAGGATAGTCCAAACTAAAAAATCACACATGAAGTGAGTTATGACTTCTCTTTTAATATAATAGATTTATTAATTAGATCATTTTAAAGGTAAAATATATGTAACTGCTAGTTTGATAATTTTATGTGTTTTTTTCCACTTACACTTTCTCCATAACATTTTATTTATCATTTCTATATTATTTGCGAAAAATCAAAATCTCAATTTTCAAATCCATTGCTTAAAGTAGAGTTTTACAGAATCGGATCGATATTCGGTAATCAGATTTTAGAACGGAATCCCTATATCCAAATAAAAGGTGCAGTAACCTAAATTACAGACCAAATGTTAAGCTTTTTTTTTCCCCCTTAGAAAGTGAAGTCTTTTCCGAAATTAAGACATTTTGTGAAGTAAATATTATCAGAAATTTTACTACTCTTAATATTTTTTAAATCTCATGGGATTGATGGTGATTTAAGATGTAGCATTTGTGGGGTAGATGAGGACTCTATTAATTATGTATTATTTGAATGTCCACCAACATTTCAAATATGGATCTTGTCTAAGATTTCCTCACTTCTAAAATTTTTCATCTTTTTTTGGTCTTTATTAATATGGATTATTTTTTTTTGCGGCTATCAAGAGAGGATGACTTCAGTTATTTTTCATAAATATTGTAATATATTTGGAAGATTCGTAATGATAAGATTTACACGAATAAGAATGGAAATCCACAAAAAATATTTCGTATAGCTAAGGTGGAAACTATGCTTTGGATAGGGGCATAATTCTTAGTTAATGGACGAAATAGGTTCACACAGCAGTTTCCGGATGGGAAATGGGTGGAACAAACCAGAGTTTGTTATATTAATGGAGCATGGAAACATGATGACATCTATACTGGACAAGGCTGGTATTGTTGTAATAGAGCCTCGACACGACAAAGCCTATCACATTTGCATGCGGAGTGTGAAGTTTTGATTTGGGTAATGTAAAGACTTCCTAATTCCTTGACGTGGTTTTTGCGATGGACTGTTCTTAATTAGTGAAGATGGTGTTGACACCTGAACAATGGCAAGCTTTTGTTATACACATATTGAAGAATTTGGACGCAATAAGACTTTTTCCCTAACTTCTGAATCATAGATATTCTAAAAGCACAAAATACTTTGGCAGACAAGATTGCACGAGGTACGAAAAAAAAATTTCCAGCTATATTTTATGTCCATTCAAAAATTTTGGTTTGGCTTTTCGAATCGTTAGGTTCAGTAACTTAATTTTTTTGTTGTCAAAAGAAAATATTATTTGAAAAATATTACATCTTCTAATTATACTATGTGTCATAATTAGAATGCTTCTTAGAATCAATAGAAACTAGATTACTTCTAATTATACTATGTGTCATTGTTAGAATGATTCTTAGAATAATTAGAAACTAAATTGGTTTAATTCAATATATAATTTACTTATCATTAATATTATAAATTAATTAGTAAGTTATGAATCATTAGAAACTGAATTGGTCTAATTCAATATTTAATATCCTTATCACTAAATAATTGAAAATTAATAAGTAATCTGCTAAAAAATATTCATTCTCTATTACATAAATAGTACATAATTACACACTATGGTTAAAATATATATGATAATTAATGATTTTGAAAATAAGTATTTAATAATAATTTGTATATTTAACTTTATCGTTAAATAAAACTAAAAATCACATTAACAATAAGATAAAATTTAGACTTTTTGTATATGTTATATTAAGAACTTAAAAAAACGATAGATTAATAAAACTGTTAAACATCTCACATTAAAAATATGTGATCAATGTTTTATAATTTTTATTATAGCATGATACAAATAGAATCTCTCTTTTATTATTTAAAAATTTAAAATTTAGATTATTTAATAAATAAAATTTAGATTATTTAATAAAATAAAATTTAGATTATTTAATAAGTACACCAGAACCTCTATAAATTAATATTTTATAAATTAATAATCTCTATAATTAATAAATTTTTCTGGTTCCAACTTGAACTAGTTTAAAATTTGATATAAATTAATAAAATAATAAGATAATAATTTTGTAAGAAATTTCTATGTAAATATATGATTTCATTTAAATCATAGTTAATATTTTATATGTATACATATTTTATATAAGTGAGAACGTATCATTATATTCGTTGTTTTATATTCACAATGAAATTATCTTTATATTTTCTTAACATTTAATAGTTTTTGATGTTATTTGGTAATATATATCTAAAACCTTATTTTAATTATATGTAATAAACATTATATACACTAAATAATATAAAAGTTAATATAATTTTCAAATTTAAAAATATAATAATTAATTTCTATATAACAAAATCAAATATCTTTCTTATTTTAGAATAAATATATCTTAAAATAAGAAATCTAAATAAGAAAACTTTTGTAAATTAGTATCTCTATATATTAATAATATTTTAAAGTTACAACATTATTAATTTGTGTAGATTCTGTTCTATTTTATAAAATATTCTGCTATGATTATTACCCAAAATTTATTATTAAAGCATGTTGACAAAAAAAATATTATAAAGCATGACACAGACATTTTTTTTTTTGATATAAATGACATTTCACCGACTTTTAATAACCATTGGACCAAAAGCGAAAAATATATAAAATATAGAGAAGCTTTAGAGACACGGCAAGAGGCACGTTGTAGTTGACCTCCAAGACATTGGTTCGGATAACATTTTGGCAGGTGCTTCTTTTCTCACGCCACCAATAATTCTTTTTTTTTTCTTTTTTGGGTCGAATACGCCAACGCCATCAATAATTCATATACCGTTTTCTTACAGAGAAAGAGATCATTCTTTATCTGCTTTTTACCTCCGCCTTCGTCCTCGGTCGTAGAATCGAATCAACTCCATTGAATAAATTGAACTTTTTGAGGAGACTCCGATGGGTTTCCTGGTGGATACACAAAAGGAAGGAGGTGGACATTCATGGGGCTGTCTCAGGAGTTTGGTCCGAAGGAAACAGGTCGACTCTGCTAATGGACGTTCTCAACATCATCAGCTCGCTAAAGCCCTTACTGTTCCTCACTTGGTTGCTATTGGTAAGCTTCTTCTTTTCTACTCTGGTTTTCTTATGCCAACAGTCTTCTAATTCTTGAGTTGTCTGAATACGGACAAGGATTTATCATCCGTTTTTGTTGTTGATTTTTTAAAAAAAAATATTTCATGGCGGCTTTTAGATTCTCCTTGTACCAATGATTCATTCACCAACTCCTATGTTTGTTTGGATTAGGTGTTGGAGCAACCATAGGAGCGGGAGTGTATATACTTGTGGGAACAGTTGCAAGAGAGCACTCAGGACCGTCTCTTGCTTTGTCCTTCCTTATCGCTGGAATTGCAGCTGCTCTCTCTGCGTTTTGCTATGCAGAACTCTCTAGTCGTTGTCCCTCTGCTGGCAGCGCCTACCACTATTCCTACATTTGTGTCGGCGAAGGGTACTACCTACTTACTAGTTACTCCTATTCTTTCTTTCTTTCTGTTCTGCTAACTTGTTTGTCTTCTTAATTTTCTAGTGTTGCGTGGTTGGTCGGTTGGGCCCTGATTCTGGAATACACCATTGGTGGCTCTGCTGTTGCTCGTGGCATTTCCCCTAATCTGGTCTCTCCCCTTTCTTACTTCAACTTTGGTTTCTTTAATTTAATACTTATGTTACTCCATGCTTTCCATGGCTATGAACCTTGTGGGCACATTAGCAAAGCCTAGGTGCTTTGTATAGGACTAGCGACTAGGCGGATTATTTTAGGTATAGGTGAGGCCTGGCAAAGCCTAA